CTTGGGCGGCTGCCCTGGAAGACCGGGCGGCGAAATCCCCCGATGAATTCCAGTTCTCCGGCGCGGACGACGCCGCCGAGCAGGGGGAGGCAATGGCGACGGCGTGGAGCCCAGCCAGCACGCACGAGATCCGCCAAGACGAGCCCACGCACCTCCTCCTCCTGCTCCTCCTCCTCCTCCTCCTCCTCCTCCTCCTCCTCCTCCTCCTCCTCCTCCTCCCCCTCCCCCTCCCCCTCCTCCTCCTCCTCCTCCTCCTCCTCCTCCTCCTCCTCCTCCTCTTCCATGCGCGGAGCTGGCTGGATCGCCGCCGCTGAAACGTTGACCTGGCTGGCCACTCGGACCGCGGCATGTCGCGCGATGTTCTTGAGTGGGCCCTCCACCTCTAGGCCCACAGGGCCATGGCATTCGGCCGTCGCACCCCAGCCAGGCGCGACGAGGGTGCCGCGACGATCCGCCTCGACGCCAACTGGCCACCGCCAGGTCGCGGCGGTGCACCAAAAGCTGCGGCAGTCGCGGTGGCGCTCGGCTGGCGGTTCTGCTGCGGTTGATCCTGGGCCGCCACGGGTGCCATCCCGCGGTGCCGCTACGCCCCGCCCCCAACATTTTCACGCGGGCCATGAGGATCACGGCGGACCGGATGCTCCGGGAGTCATCGACGCATACGCCAGAGCTTCCGGTCGACGATAACGCGGGCCACGCGCTGCGCTTCACGCGAGCGGCAGAGCGGGGGGCGACGGGCGCGACGCAGCAGCGTCTCCGATCATCCCCACGCCTTGGAACCCGAATCCCCTCGCCGCTCGAGCTGACCAGCGCGCGCGGCCAGCAGCTGCGGAGGCGCGGACAGCTCGCCGTGGGATTGGCGCGCGATTCCGCACTGGAGAAGCTCTCGGCCCCCCACGCGCGGCGGGGGCAGTTGACCGAGCATCTGCTGGGCGCTCGTCGCAGCCACCGGACTCCAGATGCTCGCCCTGGGTCGCTCGGGCCGCCCTCGACGGCGCGGCGCCGCCGAACGGAGAGAGACACTGACCGACCCCGAGGAGATGGCAGACGCCCTCGGGCAGCATTGGCAGGACGTCTTCGCCCGGCGCCTCTGGACGAGCAGCTCCTGGAGCAGTGGGCGCGGGACGGGGCGCACACCGAGCGTTCCGAAGAATTGATCACCACCTTCAACACGGACCCCCGTAGTCTTCCTGAAGGCGCCGGCGCCGCTCACCGCGGGCCGACCGGCCACGAGCCGGCGGACACTCGCCTCTGCCCAGAGGCGCCGGCGCCGCTCACCGCGGGCCGACCGGCCACGAGCCGGCGGACACTCGCTTCCTGAACGTCACTTGCTGCGACAGCCGCGCGCTGGCGAACGCCGCGCGGCTCTGCGTGGAGGAGCCTTTGGCGGAGGCGGTCTCCATGGACCAACGGGGTTTCAACCTAGGGCGATCGATGATCTCCAACGCGATCGACGTGGACGAGGGCATTATGACCACTGTGCTGCAACGCGCCGAGGGAGCGGCCTGGTTCTTCGATTTCCAGGCCGCGTTCCCCAGCATCGCTCACAGTTTTCTCCGGCGCCGCCTCCGCGCGGCAGGCCTGCCGTCCTGGCTGCTGCGCTTCGTGGACGTGCTCTACATGGAGAACCACCGCGCGACGTTGGTGGGGGGACTCGTGCACGGCGGCTTCCAATCGAGGGCCGGCATCCGCCAGGGGTGCCCGCTGCCGCCAAATTTTGCAGTGGCCGTGGATGTGCGACTCCGTCGTCTCCGCCGCCTTTTGCCTTCGCTGGAGGCCCTGGCGCTCGCAGGTGACATCGCCGCGGCCACGCCGTCCCTCTTCGAGTCTGCTCCGGTCCTGCTTCCACATCTTCACGGAGCTCGGCCGCGTCTCCGGGCTGCAGCTCAGCCTGCCGAAGACGGTCGTATATGCCGCTGTTCCACGGCGACCGGGCCGACTTACCGCGCGCGCTGCAGCCGGCTCACCCCGGGCGGGGAGGCGCGCGGGTAGCCCGGAGCGCCCACTGTCTTGGCTTCGTCCTCGGTCCAGAGCGGGGCCACCAGGCTCACACCAAGACTTTGGCGAAGGTTCTCTCTGTCGCGCCGCCTGGTGGGGCGCCGCGGGCGGGGGTGCGTTTCCGACGACGCTCGCACACACAGTGTACATCACTTCTCACCACCCACCAAACCACCCCAACCCAACCTGAACGCTTCAATTTGCCCTCCATTTCCAGTGGGGGGGGGTCGCGGAACATTGAAAAAAAACACAGATGGAACCCTTACCCCCCCCCAACCCGAAATTCCGGCCTTCGGGTTGGGTTGGGGTAGTCTGGTAGGTAGTCAACTTCCGCGTTGGGCTTCCACACGCAACTCGACCCCCTGCCGCCGCGCTGGTCGTCAGTCGAGGAAGAGGCCTTCCGCCTCCGAGTGCTAGGCTCCACCCAGTGGGTATGCCCCGACGACCTTCCGCATCTGCGCGCGCAGGGCTTCCCGCGAGGATTCGACGCTCAGGCAGAGGCCTCTCGGGGCCAGGAAGTGTTTATTGCAGTTAAGGCGCTCTAAAGGCAGCGCCCGTTCCTGGTTCCGACGGTCGTCCAGAATCGTACGCTTCATAAGGCAAGGGCCTCTCGAGTCTCAAAACAGTCCGTTGCACCCCAGGCGCTCTGAGTACAGCGGTTTTGCCCCTCCTGGTCTCCTACGGTCATTGATGCAAGTGCCTCTGGAGTGCCATAAAGTTTCGGAGCATGCGTGCACCGGTGCGCTGAAATCCCTAAAAAGTACGATCCGCGTGAAGGGAGTGCCGAATATAAACCGGATGCCCCCACGAGGCCGTAGGGGGAGTTTTCTGTGGGGCACGATCCGCGTGAGGCATTCGCCTAACTGGGCAGGGGGGCGCTCTGCGAAGTTATTCACTGGGCCATAGGTAGAGCTCCGTGAGGGGCACGATTCGCGTGAGAGGTGTGTCGAACTGGGCGGGGGGCGTTATGCGAGCCTTGTCTCTGCGGCCGTATATGAAGCTCCTTGTGGGACATGATCCGTGAGAGAGGTGTGCCAAAGTAGGCGCGGGGGCGGGATGCGAACCCTGTCTCTGGGGTCCAAAGGGAGTCCAAACGCTCCAAGAGAGGTCCCTCATACCAAAATCTTCTCACGGCAACTACTTGTATTATACATGCTGTTTGGGGGGTTCTCTCCGTCTAAATCGTGTTGCTGCTCTCTGCCACGCTGCGGAGGAGAACCGGATGACGAGGAGAAGGGGGATGAGGAGGAACCAGATAGGAAGTGGAGGTGGAAGAAAAGGACGATTACACGAATGATGATGAGAAGAGACGAGGGAAAATTACGGCAATGAGGGCGAAGGAAAGCCTGAAAGAGGGGTTCAGGATGCGCTGGCGGAGGAAAAAGGAGGAGGAATAGATTCCCATCATGTCCTTCTTTGACGACTCGTGCTGGAGTCCTCTGGGCATCCGTCTCGAGGATATCTCCAAAACACCTTTTCAACATCATCTGACGAGGCATGCGTGAAGGAGGAGCAGAAGGACGGGAGAAATGGGGAGGAGGCGACCCATGAATTGGTGTTGTGAGCATTCGTTCTCTTCACTCCAGTTTCCTCCTTCCTCCTCCAACTGGGTGGGCGGAAGAAAGAGATAGAGAGAGAGAGAGAGCAGGAGGGGACGCAGGGAGCAGGAGAAAAGAGCGATAAAGGAAGGACAGCGGTTTGAAGGGGGGCCCGAGGGAGTAGAAAGTAGAGAGGAGAGGAGAGGAGAGGAGACAGAACAGCGATTGGGGAGGGCGGATGACGAGAGGAGTATGGACAATACTTGAAACGGATCGACATTTGCAAGACAGGCATGGCGATACACCTATTGTGTCGAGATGTTGGCCAGGGTTGCGCTAGAACCTAAGCGCGCGAGGCGCGCGTGGTTCCAGTATGTATACATTACAGACATTACATCAAGATGCGTGCATATTTATATGATGCTGTTCCCACTGGAACATCAGGAGCATACGGTTCACGAAGGATTGCCCTTGTACTTCCCTATCCCTGCGACATCGATCCCGTCCAAGGGCCGCATCGGTCTCAAAGTCAGAGCTTTGGCGGGACGTCGTCGACGTGATTCGACAGTGGATGTTTGGTTGTCGTTGGTCCTCTCATCGAAATTGCCGTCTTGCCGATGACAGAGCTCCCCGAAATTGTTGCGTGCTCCTGGTGTTTATTCCCCCTCGCCGTTTCCTGCCGATCTGCGTTTCGGAACACTTATTTGTCCTCGGGTCGGAGAAACGTCTTCTGACATGAGGCCACACGTGCGGTGGAATGAGAAGGGCGGGCTTGCTGTGGATTCGTATGTCCATCTTTAGCAAGCGTGTCCACCGAAACGTTTCCAACTTTGTTCGCAATGACCGCCAGCATTATGCAAACCGCCTCTCTCGAAAACATCTGGACGGGAGGGACTCTTAGCCATCCCTGGAAGACGCAGCCCAGAGGACAAGGTCCCACCTCGCTTCAAATTGACGGCCCAAACGTTCTGAGCCCAACCCACGAGAACGACACAGGTTAGTTCCCGCTATTCGCCGAGGCCGGGCCAGAATATTCTGGTCCACCTTCAGCCCCAGAAGGACGATTGCGCCATGTTGTCGTCGACAGTGAGTGGCGCTTTTGGCGTGAGGGCCCGTCCTCATCCTTTGCTCTGCGCCCAGATTCGAGATGATCTATTGAAGTGATCGACACCTCGGCGTGAAAACTGGTTCCGTCGACATATGTAGCACCACGGTGGACTCGTTCAGGGCTTGCGGGTCGGATCAGGGGAGCCATTCATGCCAGATAAGGAGCGGAGGCAAGCGAGAGAAGGTGATTGCCAGATGAGGCATAGGTTGCAGTTGCAGAAGCGTTTGCGCTTCCAGCCGCGGCGTCGGGAAGTCCAATTGAAGAGCATGTCCAAATTTGGCCAGGATTGCCCACGCGGTCGCGGGCTGCAGCAGAACGGCGGCTTCGGCAGGCGTTGCCACCTCATTTTGGACGGCATGCTCGCGCCCCCTGGAGGTCCTCCGATAGGCGACGGGGCAAGGAGGGCAAAGGGCAGGGCGAGCATGAACATGTGCAGCAGGAGGGCATGGAAGCCACGTGGAGCACGGAGATGGAGCGGGAGCAGAGGCACGAGACAGGGCCAACGGGGACTGACATAGAACAGGGGGGAGAGGCCCAGCCATTGTGGGAATGAGGGGGGGGGGGGGGGGGGGAGGGGGAGAGGAGGGAGGAGGAGGAGGGAGGAGGAGGAGGAGAGGAGGAGGGAGGAGGAGGAGGAGGAGAGGAGGAGGAGGAGGAGGAGGAGGAGGAGGAGGAGGAGGAGGAGGAGGAGGAGGAGGGAGGAGGGAGGGGGAGGAGGAGGAGGAGGAGGGGGGGGAGGGGCGGGGCGGGGGCTCGGATGGGGAGAAGCCACCAGGCAGGACCTCGAAGGGGTTTCCGCCACGTCGGCACGGGAGGTCGAGAGAGTCGTCGACCCTTTGACGAGCGGGGGCCCTTCTGGAAAGAAGGCCTCCTCCTCCGCCTCCTCCTCCGCCTCCGCCTCCTCCTCCTCCGCCTCCTCCTCCGCCTCCGCCTTCTCCGGCACGGGAGGCCGAGAGACGTCTTCTCCTCCTCCGCCTCCTCCTCGTCAAAAGGTCGACGACTCTCCGGCACGGGAGGCCGAGAGAGTCGTCGACCTTTTGACGAGCGGTGGCCCTTCCGCGAAGAAGGCCTCCTCCTCCTCCGCCTCCTCCTCCTCCTCCGAGCGGCTGTCTCAGCTGTGTAAAGCCCCGTGGGTTTCCCAGAACGTCTCCTGGACGCCCTTGCGAGGTGGGGCCGTTCTGCGGCGGTTCCCCGCCCAGGTTCGTCGGGCTCCTCCTCCCGGAGCTGCGGTGTCCTATCACGAAGAGCTTGCGGGGGGCATCTGTCCAGGCGGTGTCCTTCGTGGCGAGAGGTTTCCGACGTTGGAGACTCTGATTGCGGGCCTGATCCTCAGAGTCCCGCGGAGGCGGCTGGTGGAACTGTGTTTTTTGTTGGCAGATGTGCGTGGCCGAGATGCAGCGGCACGTTTAAAAGTCGCGGGTGTCATGCCTCATGGAGGCTTCTGGCGGGACGAGATTACATCGGAAAGGGCTTCTGGACCCGATTCGCGAGGCCTTCTCTCAAAGCCTCAGGGTCATATCCAGTTGCTTGCGGTAAACCCCGCCGTCATGACAGCGCAGCAGCGCAGCAAAAAGGAGGCTGAGTTGAAAGCACGGTCCAGCCCAGTGATGCAGCCCGACTACCCCTATCCACCCGCAAATCGCCACCCGAATACCCTCACCCACCCGCCTTGAACCGCAACCAAACTATCCTCACCCACTCGCCCAAAATTGCAACCCATCGATCCTCACCCACCCACGTGAAATTTCAACCCGTATGCCGAAAATGGACCCAGATAGATCCCCCCCGCAAATAAATGTACAATTAAACGGCTCTGGTGGGTTGAGTCAGCCAGCCGTCGTCACGAAAACAATACGGGTTTCGTTCGTAAAATATTGAAGCCGATCATGGTTATTCCGCATTCTCGGATTCCATTCGAGGCCCCTCTTTGGACATCACCTCGGGGTATCTTTGCCTCTTGGGGCCTTTCGGGAACATCGGCTTGGCCGCGGTGGCTTGGTATGCGGGCATCTTGCGAACATTTTGAAGCGGTCACGGGCCGTCGTGGAGCCACCTGGATGCAGAGAAAAGTTAGTTTGGTAGCTAATATAACGGGATGGTGTTCTAAGGGCGGGCCATTCGGGGGTTGTGGGGGGGGCATGGTGGATCCATTGGCAGAAGCAGAGTTGTAACGAAGAATGCCGCGAAGAACACACCCGGCAAGCGCACGTTCCATCACCCCGTTCTCGCAAAACCCATCGAGCGCGTGCCTGGCGGGGCGGCCACACAAAAGATCTTGGTCTCTACTGCTGGCGCGCCCCGCCCACGATGCAACACGCGGCCGTTATCACTGGCAAGCCCAGTTCCCAGCCGAATGCGCCTGCCTCTATCGATGGGAGGCTCATCCTCTGCGAAATACGGGATCTCTATCGCTGGCGGTGTCCATCCCTCACAAAATAGGTGCGCTCCGTGAGTAGCTGGATACAGCACACGAACTTCAAAGCGCGTTGGGGCCGAATCTTGGCATCCATACACCACCCTTAGCAAGGAGGCATCGATTATTCAAGAGGCTGTTCTTGTCGTTGGAAATATAGAATTCAAGTGTTGAGCTTACGCCAGCGGTCAGGAGGTAGAACGCCCCGCTCCCCAGTTCAGAAACCATGTCCGTACGTCTTCCTGGGATGGCTTCGCTGCCAAACAACAGTAAGAACCAGCGCTTGGAGGATGGGCGGTTAGGGCCCTGCCTATGGTTGCGATCCATGCCGTGCCGCGAGTTTGTGAGTGTCTGCCGCCCCGGCGGCCGCGCCAGTGACGACAACACGGCGCCCAGGCTTGTCGGAGCAGAGCTCTGTTTGGCTGGCAGTCTCGGGCGAGCAAGCCCCCCCCCCGCGCGGTTCGAACAAAGGCCTGCGACAGTGGGACGGCAGCGCTTCTTTTCGAACCGATGGGCCTTCAGATCTTGCCCCGCGCCAGGCGCGCCCTTCGGCTCTGCGGCGGAGGCCGCGCCGCCGCTGGCGCACCCGGCGCCGCAGCCGAGCAGCGTGGTGAGGCTGCGGCAGAAGCTGGCGGAGTCGGCCAGCCTGCTGCAGGATCGCGCACGGCCGGCGCAACGAGGTGTGGAATTGTTCAGGGCCCAAAAAATTCAAGAGGGGAAAAAACACACAGACACAATGAATCGTCGATCTCCAGGAATATGGGAAAATATGGAAAGTGGGGGGGGAAGACAAAAACCCAGAAATATTGGAAAAGATGGGGAATCCTGTTACCTGTGTGCATTGATTTGTATGTCCCAGGGCCCCCTTCACTAAACTCGGGGGCACTTTTGATCCGCCAGGGCAGGGGCGCGCTCGCGAGAGCGCCGCGGCCGCAGATCGAGGCGTGCTCCACTCTTTTCTGCCATGCCCCCAGTGGAGTGCTCGGAGGAGGAGGAGGAGCAGGAGGAGGAGGAGGAGGAGGAGGAGGAGGAGGAGGAGGAGGAGGGGAGGATGGGGGAGGGGGATAAGGGAGAGGAGAAGAAGGGGGAGGAGGGGCAGGAGGAGGAGGAGGAGGAGGAGGAGCAGGAGCACGGTCTCCTGGCTCGGAGGGGCCCCGAGGAGTGCCGGGGAGCGTGGGGGGGGGGACCTCCCGCCTCCCCTCCCGCGCCCTGCCTCTCGCCCCGGGCCCCACCCCTAAGTCGGGCGTGTCCCCCCTAGAGGGGGATTTTGAGCTGAAAATTTTGAATACCCATAAAATATTCCAAAAATGCCCAAAGATAATAAAAAAAAGTCCCCAGACTATTTTTGACTGTGTTTGAATATCCCTCCTGTAGAGGGACAGGCCCGACTTAACCCTACCCTCTCCCCTGCTCTCCCCCTCCCCCATCGCATCTCCGCAGCCGTGCCCTCCCCTCCAGCCTGGCGGAGCAGCAGGGAAGCAGGGGAGCGGAGGAGGAAGGGGAGCAGGCTGGTGAGACTCCGCGCGGGGCGTTCGCTTTTTCCGCTGGCCCCTCCCCCCCACCTTCTGTCGTCCCCTTTTTCCCCCCCTGGCATCGCCCTTCCCTTTTCGTCGTGCGCCGCGCGAGTAGCCCCTGCAGTTGTATTTCCCGCCCCTTCCGCACCGTCTGTGTCGACGCCTGTTTCCTCGCCTCCCTCCCTTTTCCTGCCCGCAGTCGCCCCTTGTCGGTACTGTGCGCAGTCGCTCTGCTTCGCAAGCACCATCACCACACGCCATCCTGATCGTGAGCACCACCACCATCACCACCATCAGCAGCATCATCGTCTCCGCTGCTCCCCACCGTCCTCCTCCCCTCTCCGCGCCCTCCGCTGCCCCCCCCCCCGCGACCTCCGGAGCCTGGCCACCAGAAGGAATTGGGCGCCGCGTAATGGGCGGGTCATAAATGGGGGGGCGGCAAGGGTGGCCCGAAAAGGTACCCAAACGGTACCTAAACGAGCCCCCTGGGGCTCTGGAGGGGCCCGAAAGGGGCACGAAAGGGGACCTTTTCTGACCCCCCCATTTGTGACCCCCCCATTAAGCCACGCCCAAAGGAGGCGGACGACCCGCTGTGGCAGGAGGCGTCCCTCCACCTCAGGCGCGCGCAGCTCCGCCCCCTGCCAGGCTCGCTCGCTGCCGGCGGGGGCCCCAGCGTCCGGCAGGGTGCGGGAGGGGAGTCGTGGGGCGTGGCGGGGGGGGGGCCCGCCTCTCTGCCCTCCCTCTGCTCCGCCTCTCCTGCTTCTCCCTCCCCCCTCCTCCTCCTCCCCCTCCTCCTCCTCCTCCTCCTTCTCCTCCTCCTCCTCCTCCTCCTCCTCCTCCTCCTGGCCTCGCTGGCCCCTCGTGCGGCCGGTTTGTGCCCCACGTTTATCAGCGTTGACTTTGTCTGGGCGTTCCCTCGCCTGAGCAGAACTGTTCTTTTCCGTGTATTGGAGCGTCTCAATGTCCCCGTTGGCTATTTGAATGTGTTTCGAGGCCTCTACGATCAGATGGTCGAATGGATCCGTGTTGGTGGTGCGACCCTGCTCTCGGTCCCCATCCGCTCTGGAGTGGCTCAGGGCTTCCCACTTAGCGATTCCTTGTGGGCGCTCGGACCCCTTCCTCCGCCTCCTCGCCCGAATCCTCACCTCCCCTGAAATCGGCACGATGGGAGCATGCGTTGACGACACTGGCGCTTTCCTCACGTCGCTCCGATCGGTCGAAGTCCTCGAGCCCCTGTTCACACGTATCCAGCATGTGGCGACTCTGAGATTGCACCCAAGTAGATGTGTGGTTGTCCCGCTGTGGCAACAGCTTGACAGCGCCCTCGAATCCAGAATTCGGCTTCTGCTCTCCGAGTGCTCGCCTCCCTGGGCCACCTTCTGCATCAGTGAATATGCTAAGTACCTCGGTGCGTACATAGGTCCGGGCGCCACTCTCGAGATCATTTGGGATGGCCCCACTCAGAAATATATACAGCGTTGCAAGAAGCTTGTCCTTCTCCAGGCCTCTGCAGATGTCACGTCTAGGTTATACAACTCAGCGGTCATCACATGCCTTTCGTGTCTGAGAAATGTTTACCTTGTAAGCAGTGCACTGCAGCGCCGCGAACTGTGGGGTGTGCACAAGGCCCTCCACCTCCCCCCCAACTCGTTAGCCCTCTCCGAGGTCCTTTCCCTGTCCACTTGGTCCCCCTCGCCCTCACCCATCTCTATGCCGTGCTCCGCGCTCGCGAATGCTTGGCGGTCTGCCTCGCTCACGCTCGACATTGTCTGGGGTCCTCTCTTTCGTCGCACGCGTGATGCTGCCGACCCGATCGACGGGAGCGTGGACCACGTGCCCCTGGTGGGCTTGGTGAAGCAATAGTGGTGCGCCCCGTGCTGGAGGATGAAATCGGCAATTGTACAGTACTACGATGCCCTCCACCGTGCCGTACCCATGGCGCGACCGCCACTGACATCCGAACATACTCGTGCTGCCCTGCAGAAGGGTCGCGTCGCCGCCCGTGAGGCGCTCACTCTGGGCAAGAAGCCTAAGATTCCGAGTATTTTCCTGAGGTGTATTTCCCAACAGACTTCCCCCGAGCGCCTCCACCTCAATTGGGCGTCGCGTGCGGTCCTGGCTTGGCGCCAGCCCCGCACGACTGCAGGAGCCGTGGGATCTGGCTCGAGAAATCCTCCTCCGCGCTCCGCTGTCCGTCCTCTGGCCGCGGCCGAAGACTGCCGCTCGGGGGGTGGGTTACGACCGACCGCACGCACGTGACGGAGGGGTGTTGGACTTGCGCCTTCGGGTGTGTTCGCTTCCCCCTTGGCGCCTCGGGAGCCACGGCCGTACGAGTGGCTCAGGCCCAGGCCCCGCGCATGGCCGGATGACGTTGCCCCCAGGCATTGGCGCTCCTCCTCCTCTTCCCCCTCCTCCTCCTCCTCCTCCTCCTCCTCCTCCTCCTCCTCCTCCTCCTCCTCCGCTTCATCCCCCCTCCTTGCGAAAAACTCCTCCGTGTCGCGCCCCGAGACGAGTCGGCAGAGCGACGGGCGTTTCGCCAGAGATTTCCTCACAGATTACGACCGTGAAGCTTGAAATTGGGAACAGCTTCACAAATGGAAGGCGGGTCGTTTTCAGAATGTGGCTCTCGCCTTTGCGCCGCGCCCATTCCTTTTAAAAGTTTGGGTGGTTTTCAAAATGTGGTTCTCGCCTTAGCGCCGCGCACATTTGTCTTGCCAGAGCCTCACAGGTGGAAGGCGGTCCCTTAGGGCCTTGCAAATTCTCTCTACATGTTTGCAAGAGCTTCACGGATGGAGGGCAGCTCATGTTCAAAATGTCGTTCTCACTGTAGCGCCGCGCACATTCACTTCAACTGCTTAGAACAGTTTCAAGGATTTGTATGTTCCACGTCCCAGAAATTGTGGCCGGGCACGATTTAGGATTGCCAGGGCGCGACAGTCACGGTGATTCGCGGCATTGACGTTCCAGAAGCATTGTTTTGGCACGATTTAGGATCGTCGGATCGGAATTGAGTCGTGGCGTTCAAAACCTAAGAACGGTGTTCTGTCACGCTTGAAGATTTTGAAACGGTTGTCTTCTCACGGGGCCCTTCCATTAGTGAGAAATAAAGCTTTCCATGAGCCTATGGGGAGGGAGTTTGGAGGGACCGTTTACTGAAACATCGTTGATGAGTCTTGGGTTTTCATTGGTTATCCTCCTCCATCCATTTTCTTATACATAACTCCTCCCTGTCGCATCCCCCGGCTTGTCAGTAGGGCGGGCCGGGCGTTTCGCTTGAGACTGCCCAACCATATGTGATCTTGAAGCTTAACATTCGTAAGAGGTTCACAGATGGAGGCCAGGTGGTTTTCAAAACGTGATCCCCGCTTGAGCGCAGCGCACATTCGTTCAAAAGCTTGCAGCAGCTTCAAAGATGGAGGGCGGGTATGTTTCACAATGTGGTTCTCGCCTTAGCGCCGCGCAAACTCATCTTGAAAGTGTGCAGAAGTTTCCGGGATTCGTGTGGTTAGAATCCTTGGAGTGGTGTCTTGGCACGCGTCAGGATTGTCAGAACGCAGCAGTCACGTCGATCTGCCTTGCTGAAGTCCCAGGATCGGTGTTCTGGCACGATTTAGGATCGTCAAGACGCAGCAGTCACGTTGATGCACGGCGTTGAAATCCTACGACGTGCGTTTTGGCGCGATTGGGGATTCGTTGACGATTATCGCCCACTGGTGCAATTCCCGCAACGAAACCAAGTTCTTCATGCTTCGCGTATCCCGACCAGCGGCACACTCCAGCCTATGCCGCACTGCACCTTGCAGCCCCCCCCCTTTTTTCACTACGTGGCTCTTGCGGCGGTTAGCTGCACCCCCCACATGTGTTCTCACAGACGGTGTGCAGCTGCCCTTCAGTTACGTACTGTTTGGGGCGGTTAGCTGCGCCCCCCCTTCCACACGCCCTGTCGCACTCTGTGGGCTGCAGTAGCCCTCCCACACCCGCGCGGCACTGTGTTTTGGATTCTCGGCCAGCGTCTGCAGTCGGTGGTGATTCCGTTGGCCGCGCGCCGAGTGGGTCAGCCTTCGGCGTCGTCGGCTTTCGTTTCCACTACGTGCAGCTGGCGTCGCAGGCTGGTACATTGTTGTCTGTTTGGGCAGTTGCTCGGAACTTGGCGCCGCACGGGCGACTTACTCCGCAGCTTGCACCTCTGTGCGCTAGGTGCGTCCCAGTGAATGCTGAGCATTTTGCTCAGTGCACGTGCATTGCACGCCTCGCGTGGAATTTGCCTGTTCCGCCGTCCCGGACACGCCTGTTGCCGCCAGACCGCTGTCGCGCGGCCGCCGACCAAAAAAAAAATATCCCCACCAGCCCTTCCAGAAACGTTTCCCGCATAGCTGACGGGAAGAGGGACTGGGAACAAAGGGGTGGCCTTGGAGGGCCTCTTCGGGCAATCCCTAGGGCCCGCGGGGGGGGGGGGGGGGGAGGAGGAGGAAGAGGAGGAGAAGGAAGAAACACACCGCCTGTTGGGTCCTTAGCGATGATGCTGTCGATACTGCACTGGGTGTTCCTGGCGGTCTCCTCGTGCGTGCTCTCGACGCTACGCTGTGGCCGATGTAGCCCCAGATGGCGGGCCTCTAATTGCCCGTCATGCCGATGACGATGAGCCTGCGTTCTTCGTGGTTCCCCTCGGAGCCCTTCGATGTGTGATTTGTGTGCGATGTTGCCGCGCTGATTTTCACAGCCGGAGCGATTCCTGGTATATGTGATCCCGACATTCCTACCCATGGTGAGTTGAAAGAGGCTGCTGGTCTCCATGTACATGCTCTCGCTGCTGGTGTAGCCAATGGTGGCAGTCCTCGATATATTCCTCCTGCGGGTGATGGTCGGGGCGCTACTGTTGGTCTCCATGTGCACGTTCTCGATGTTGCGGCTGATGGAACCGATGGTGGCGCTTTACTCGTGCAAGGCTCTGCTGCTGCGGAAGCTAGGGCAGATGGCGGTCTACATTGTGGCCTACACCTTCTAAGAAGGCCGCGCGTACCACGTCATTTTCTCGTTCAACATGGAATTTGGCAGATCTGCTCTCATATAATTGGTGCACATGGTCCTCGCTGGAATTTCGAGTAAGTCAGGGCCCCCTTTGGCGACGTCAGCGGTGTCCCATTATTTGGTACTCGTTCTGCTCCTAGTTGGGTAGCACTACTCAGCATATTGACGGATCTCGGGAAGCGCCTGATCAAGCCCCTCAATGTGACGGCCACGCGACTTGTGATACCTTTTCGGGATGGAAAACAGCGTGAAGGCATCACTGTGGAAGTTGTGGCGATCAACCGTTCTACCAACGACAGCTCTGGTTCTCATAGTCCCCCGGGTGAAAGGCATGGTATGGTTCGGTTGTGTGGGGTCTCTAGCGTTCGCGTGGATACTCTTGATGCTGAGCGCGTGATTTCGCAATTTACTACGACGGTCGATTATTCCTCTTCTTGGCTGGCTTTGTCGTCTCCTAGGTCAGCCACAGGGGCGCGAACATAAGGGCGTTTCGCGCGTCGCGGTCGGAGCCGCCGAGTTGGCTTTCTCCGGGGGGCGGCGTGAGGGCGTGAAGATAACCGCGCATTGCGGGGCGCGATGCTCCAAGTTAGCTGACATAGGTCTCCCCCTCCCGTTCTCCCTCGCCTCACCCTCTCCGCTCCCCTGGACAGGACGCTCTCCCCGCTCCTGGTTCCCACCATTCCCGCATGTTCCTGTTCACTTCCTCTCCCCTTTCCCATCCCTCATCCCCCCCCCTCCCCATCCCCGCCCTTTACTTCCCCTCCAGTCACCCTACCTCCCCCTGTTGTTCCCCTCCCCCCACCTCTCTTCCTCCCTCTCTTCTTCCACTGCAGTCCTTCCGTTCGCCCTCCCCTCTCTTCCCTCCTTGCTCAGCCCCTCCCCCCCTCCTCACTCTTCACTCTCCTTCCCCAGCTCGAGCCGGAGGAGGAGGAGGAGGAGGAGGAGGAGGAGAAGCAGGAGGAGGAGGAGGAAGAGGAGGAGGAGGAGGAGGAGGAGGAGGAGGAGCAGGAGGCGGAGGAGGAGGAGGAGTCCCTCCCTCGCTCCATCGATCCCTTCGCCTCCGTGCCAGGGAAAAAGGCCCTTTTGACAGAAGCGCGGCCGAGCCGAATCTCTTGGGCCCTGCTGCCTCTGAGGTGGCATGCCGCCACCGCCGCACTCGAACCCGCTCATGCCGCTGTACAGCGGGTCGTCGGGGCAGGGGGGGGGCACCCGTGTTCGATGCTCGTTTTGGGGACCTTCTTGGGGCCCACCTAATGGACCTGTTCGACTCAGGTTCGACTCGAGTTCGACTCGGGTTCGACACAGATTCGACTCAGGTTCGACTCAGGTTCGACTCAGGTCCGACTCAGGTTCGACGCAGCTTCGAACCACGAGTGGAGCGAGTGGCTCCAGGAAGGTCCCCAGAATGAGCATCTAACCCGTGGTTGGCTCGAGGAAAGTCGGCTGCGCATAAGGGTGACCTTCCGCTGGAGTGGCCTCGAGTGCGGGCCCACTGGGTTCCCCCCGTCGTTGGATGCGGTGCGATAGCGGCGGCGTGCGCGCTGGGGTTTGCCCCCATCGCCCCCCCCTCTGAAGCCAGGCACCGAAGGTCACTCTTGCCCAGGGTCCCTCCTGCAATTAGCGGCGTGGGGAGGAAGGGGGACAGTAGGACAACGAGGAAGAGGAGAAGCAGCAGCAGAAGACGTCGGATCGGGAAGGGGAGGAGGAGCAGCAGCAGGCGAGGGGGAAGAAGGAGGAGGAGGAGGAGGAACGAGAGGGGCGAAGCGTACCAATGAGGAGGTGGGAGGAGAAGGGGGGCACGCACGACGAAGCCACGTGTTCAGGAACGCGAATTGGGAGGGCTGGACTCAGAGAGCTCCCGTGTTGTGTCCAGTGCTTAGACACGTTGGCCTTAGGCCCTCTGATCGGGGGAAGCCCCAGGTCATGGGGGACCTCGTTCCATGTCGGAGAGAGAAAGAGAGTGAGAGAGAGAGAGGAAGAACTTAATACACACAGCCGGCCCAGGTTAATAGATCGACCCTGCCAAATCATGGGTACCTTTGTGTCCTGTCTCTCGCGACCCATGCGTCCTGCATTCCTGCGGCGATGTGGCCCTCGGCAGGGTCTTGTGTCCTCTCGCGTGTCCTGTCCAATCAAGTCCGACTGTAAGTAGAGAGTGAGCGAGCGAGCGAGCATGGGAGGAAGGAAGGGAGAGAGAGAAAGAGAAAGAGACAGAAGGGGATATAGATCTGGAGAGAGACGGGGATAGATAATGACAGAGACAGGGAGTGACGAGGAGCAGTGGAGCAAAATGTTCAAAATGGAAAGGCGGAGCAGTGGAGAAAGGAATCGGAACGAACCCGCCTGCCCGTCATCAACAGCAGGATCAATAGTTGCGGCCCGTAAAAGCAAACAGCCGCTGCTGATAACACCTCACCCCCATGCAGTGCAGGTCCTCCACGACCATGCCTGGAAGTACTCAGTGCCGATGCCGCGCGGGTCTGGACAGCCGACTTCATAGTGTCTCTGACACAATATATTGGAACGTGTGTTTAATAGTGTTTGTGTATTCTGGCGTGTGCACATACAGCTCATGATGCGCGTTGTGGACATTAATGCTCAAACCGTTTAGGCGCTTTGGGCCCTGGTGAGACGAACGAGCCCTTCCGATGCGCTTCTTCTCAGGCAGCGATAGTGAAGAAAGGGCGACAACGGTCACGGCACCAAGCTTCTTTCAGACACTTGCTGTTTCCACTGCGGACTCGGGGGTACCGAAGGGGAGCAAGACGTTGGCCCCTCTGGATTTTTTCATACGTTTCATCTCACAAGGGCTGGCCACCCTCACGTACACGTGCGAGATGGACTGCGCACCAGGCGTGGACCCAAAGGTCGCGGTTCTGACGGGCGAGAGCCTCAAGGACCTTGCCAGATACAAGAGAGCTGTGGAGGCCAGCGCGCTGTCTTGCTATGGCGGGAAGGACCGAGCCTCGCTGGGCCCCACGCTCTACAATAATCTGCTTGCCGTCAACGACATTATATATGTGATGGCCGAGCAGCGAGAAACAGCTGATTTCGCCGAAGAAAATGGAGCAACGAAGCTTCTTCTGTTCCTGGAGCAGTCGAGGTTCAGCAGGACGGGTTTCAGAAAGCGCCCCAAATCGCACGACGCATTCTACAATGCGACGCAGTTCGAACGACGCGGAGTAGAACGTGTGGTGGCGCTATGTACAGCGATGGAACTGGCGAAGGCGAACCTGGAGAAGATCGACAGTGGGACGACAGTCAGCGACAACGAGTTGGGCTACTGGATGCTCGAGAAGTCAGGCCTCGACCTGGACGAGAAGCAGACATGTCTTGGCCAGGGTTGACGAGACGCTCCGGTTCTCGAAGATCAGCATGGTTTTGATGAACATGCCCCCGCGAGGCGCCAAGCACCGAGGGAGAGACATTCGACCGAGAGAGCCACCGAGGTGGTTGACCTATTACGTGGACGTCGACCATGGCAAGTGCGACGAACAGACCGATGGCCACGATGAGGACGCGTACTGGACCCAGGATAGCGACCGCTACTGGTACGAGTGGAATGAGGACCACGACGCCTACGCCAGCCACATCTACGCGACGGTGACGCAGGAGGACTACGATTACGCGGGCGATGAGGCTTTCACTATCGAGGACGACACGCACCAGTTGATGACCGACCAGGACTTCGAGCACCACCAAATAATGGTGACGCCACGCGGGTCGCGAGAGAAGATGAACAAGATGCGGCCAGCGCGGGCGTTCATCAAGGGTGAGATCGACGGAGCATTGCGCGAAAGCAGTGCGGCAGGAGGCAAACCAAGTGGCAAATATGGCGGCAAGGGCAAGTCCACGGACAACAAGAACAAGAGGTGCAGCGGGTGCGACCATTTCGAGTGCAATCGCCCCGACTACGGCAGCGAAGGCAACCGACACGCTGCAAGCAGCGACCGAGAGGCAGGAGCAAATCGCCAGGACAAAGTATGGATGCCCCAGGGAAGAATCGCCTTGGCGCGCCGGCGGTCGGAACGGTCGTTGGACTCAGCGGCCGGCAGCAAACGGACATCGACAATGCGGTGACCACTCAGAGCACGGGCCCTCGCACATCTTTCTCGAGGCCGTGTCAGAACGCAGATCCCGCCGCGGGCCAACGCCCCCAGGTTCAACGTCGCCGCGCGCCGCGCTCGCGAGCGAGCTGGAGACGGACGTTGAAATCCACGGCGCCGAGACGGACCTACCAGAGGTCGAGGACATCATGTTTGGCGAATCGAGGCCCCCTATTCCCTGATGGACCCAGGAGCTGGCGCAGGCGTGGCAGCCTGGAATGGTTAGCCAAGGTGGCAGCAGAGCTCCAGCGACACGGCCCACGCGCATCAGCGATTGAGGCCGACCAGGAGTTCAAGGCCTGTGAAACACCAAACGGCGTGTCAAGGAGCAGTGGCTTATCCCGATCGGCACCGGCAAGAAGCATCAGAATTCAGGTGCACTACGCCACCCCCGGCAAGATGATCGGGCTCGCTGGACGTGGAGACATTGAGGACTGGCAGGCAAACCCCCGCACGCGCCGGGAAGGCCACTGGGCGGACTTCGAGGATCTGAGCGCACGCAACAAGGAGCTCATCAAGATGCCTCGTGGGCACGCCGGCCTCGACATTTTCGATCACGATCGCGAGGAGTAACTTGAGGGCCCGATTTTCCGCGAACTCGCGATCGACAAGCCGGGTGCGACCGAAGCGACGAAGCGATTGAAACGACAGGGCGCGACACTCAGGCATCCGAAGCAGCGGGCAAATGGCGACGAGGCATCTTCAAGAGGCCGACGCTCAAGCGCATTGAGAAGTGCGCGGAGGAGTGCGCGGTGATATTTGACGCCCTACCGGGTGGCATGATCACTTTCACGCGGGCGCTGTGCGCCCGAACTGCCGGGCTCACCAAGATCGCCACCACTGAAGGGAATCGCAACGCAGCGCCCGAGGACTTCGGCACCGGCGTCATCTTTCACGACCCGAAAGTACAGGACGGCTGGCCATTGTTGGTCGAGTTCTACAAGCCATGGCTGGTCACATGCACGCCCCAGTGCAAGCCTCACCTTAACGCGCAGGCGCTGAATCGGGAACCAGGGCCATCGCGCCAGACGGACGAGATACTGATCGAGGCTTAGACGCACCTGACGCCCACGAGGCGCGCGCTCGAAGCTCCACCAGCTGGAGGACGACTAGGACTACAAGAACCTGCTGACCAGCAGGGCATGGAGTGATGACGACATTCGGACACTGCACATGCGAGACGATGCGATGCATGAACGAACTCGGTTGGACCAAGTGCATGCGCGGGCTCACCGGCTACGAGGGCGAGCTCATCAACGGGCCTACGGAGATGCCAGTGCCGAAAGACAGCTGCTTCAGGTGATGGTTATCAGTGAAATGCGATAAATCACATCGACATGCGGGAACCGCCGGTCGAGGGAAAGAAACACTACCTGGAGGCGGCTGGAGCGCGGCCAGAGGCACTCGCGCGCACCGTGGTCAGCGCGGCCGCGCACGAGCTGGCCAGCAGGACCCAGCAAAGACGTTCGACGCTAGTAATGCGACGCCCGCGGCCCAACGCCAGGCGGCGAAGGAGTTCTACCCGCGCAGCGATTTCATCGACACGCGCGCCGCGAAGGGCGACGACCAGGTCAAAGACAACTCAAGTGCCATGAAACGAATCATGGCCACCTACACCGATCAAGGACAGCTGGCGGACATGACGGACGCGCGGAAGGGGCGCGACGACTTCCAGAAGCTACCAGGGCCAGCATGGCTGGACGGCGACGTACCGATCGCGATCTACGCGAACGAGCCGAAATCCAGGACGTCGCATCCAGCGATCCGCCAGACCACGGACGCACACACTAGCAAGACGCAGGCCGACGATTGGGACGCAGACGCCACGCGCCAGAGCCCGGCGAGCGACGGCGAAAAGTTCGGGCCAGAGCCAGACAACATCACCCGCGCATAATGGTCAACACTTCAGGAACTACACCTCAATCCGAGCCATCCGCCGGCAGATGCGATGAAGAGACGACTGAAGACGAGCGGCGCGAGGGCAGAGGGGTTCGGCGCAGTAGGCAAGCTCGAGGGCTCAACATGTCGGGGGCTTAGTCGGCCTGCGACGGCTCGATCAGCAAACCTGAAGCTATCTACTGAGTTCAACGACAACGCGCTCCTCGACGAGGCCGAGGTCAAACTCTCGGGCGACACCAGGCCGACGGCGATGGCCATCATCGACGACGCCTCGAGTTACAGAATCATCGACGACGCCGACGGTGCCCTGACGCGTTTTACGCTGGGCTGGCCATCATTGGCTGGCCCACCCAAGACGCTCTACTCCGACGCAGCGACATGGCACATTGCGAAGGCGCGCGCGGAGGTCGGCGGCAGGCACAGCATACCCCCGCAACCGACCCCCGCGGAGGCCCGCCACCGCAAAGGCAGAGGAGAGAGCCACCGGCTTCTTCGAGGATCCTTTTCAGAGAGTGAACCGCGAGATCCAGATCACCACGAAGGACGACCCAGCCGCGTGGACGGCTATTCTGGCCAACACTTGCAACGGTCACATCAGGCGGAACGGCTTCACTCCCGACAAGCATTTGCTTGGACGCTCGCCCAACGCGATGGACAGCACGAGACGAGGCTTTCGGCGATGGGCGCGACGAGACAGCGCGGCGCGATTCGAGTCGGGACCCCGACGGGCAGATCACACCCGCGCAGTTGCCAATCGATCATTCGTCGAGCTGGGCAGCGACGATGCCGCTCGACAAGATGCACCGGGGCGAGTCCGACCACCACGAGGACAATTCCAACCAGGACAAGTGGGCTTCTATTGGCGCGAGGTGCAGCACGTCAAGTCGAAACGATTGCAGGGCGAACGTGACTGCGGGGCAGTCGTCATCCTGGCCCAAGAGGGACATACTATACTACATGTGTCGTCTCGCGGAGTACCAGCTTTGATTGCGCCTGAACAGTTTCTGCGCGCCAGTAGGGCTGCGTCGGAGATGATAGAGAACGAGGATGCGGTCAAGCACTTGGGGTCAGTAGAGAGGTGATTCGACGATGCAGGGCGGCGTTGTGGATGAGCGGGGGCGCCCCCCCAATGCGATTGAGGACGCAAGTGGCGAAGCAAACGAGGACGTCGAGATGGGGCAGCATGCCAGCGCCGACGTCCACCGAGACCACTTGCTCCTGGCCGCGAACCACAACTACCGGTCCTTGCAGTACACCCCGAACCAAAATTCAGACCTCGAGATGCGGACCCCATCATCAGCGAGATACCCGAGGATGAGGCACGCAACTTACCAGCACTACTTGATCTGCCAGGCCCACCAGCCGAAGCAGCTGGACCAGGGCCTACCACGGATGCACCGGCGACGCACTCCGAGACGCCAGGGCAACGTGGACAGCCAAGGGCGCCAGCATTAGTTCCACCGGGAGAAGCAAGACTATACAGGAAACGGCCGCTCATGGTGGATATCAGCCTTGATCGACGATGCATGGTTCGACGTCAGGAACTGAAGGGCACGAGTTACGAGGCCCAAAACACCCCCACGGGTTACGCAAACGACGAAAGCCTAGCCCCTTCTGCGCGCAGAACCGAACACGCGATGCATTTCTGGCGAGGAAGACCGAGAAGGCGAGGATCAAGCAGCCATTGGCCAAGGAGAGGGAAATTCGTCACATTCTTGCCGAGTGGACGTTGGCGTTCGAAGCATCCGACAAGGCCGAGTGGGAGAAGTGGATCAAATACGACACGGTGGTGATCCCCGCGGGCGCGGTTCTCAAGACGGTCGACCCGTCTGAGGCACATGCATGTTACATACCGACAAGAATGAGGCTACCCGCGGGGACTTGTCGTACAGCGGCCACCCTCTACAGGCCCAGACAAGGGCCATCCTTCTGGTGCGCAAGGACATGCAACTCCTAGCGGGCGAGTTGAATACGAATGCGCCCACATTTACCGACGCGCCGACGGCCGTGATCACCCAGAGGACGGCGATCAACCGCGACTGAACGCTTGAACAAGGAGACGTTTATTCAGCCTTCCTGAACGGCCGCTATCTGGACGAGGCAAGGCGCGTGGTCTTCAAGGCCCCGCAGGATGGATCACCTGTGGCACTTGATCTTGGATGGCCCTATATCCCCAAGGTGCGATACGACAAGCGACAGAAGCGCATCTACGGTCTCAGTGACGCACCACTTCAGGCACGAGGTGCATCGCGACACCGTTCTGCCACTACTACAGGGCGCATCACGATCAAAGCTGCGCCCCGCGCTCTTCATCTTCAGGGGCGCGCCGGGCAAGGTGACCTGGCTCATCGGGGCGCGCGTGGACGGCGACTTGGTTGCGGGATCCCCGGAGTTCTGCAAGAACCAGGTCGCAGCGCTGAGGAAGATGCATTGCTACGGCAAGTGGCACATCATCGAGCGGGGCTTCCATCAGTGCGGGAGGTACCACAAGTGAACCGGCCAGGGCCATCTCCTGCACCCAGAAAGAGTACGAGGAGCACGCGGAGAGCATCGAGAGCGCGCCTTTGCGCGCGGCACGACGCAAGCAGAAGGAGAGCATGATCACGGCAGAGGAACGCAAAGCGATGCATCGAGTTAATGGACAAGTGCAGTGGCAGGTCAGATCTACGACAATGGACTCCGCGTTCCAACTGGTTGAAAGCCAGACGCGAGCGCGCGACCCAGAGACCGCGCAGGACATCATAGAGATCAACAATGTGATCGCACATGCTAAGGCGTACCAGGTGGATATCCTATTCCAGCGCATCGACCTGGCCACTGCGGCGGCGGTTGCGATCGGTGACTCTAGCTTCGCGAACGTGGGCAAAAACAAGAATGCCAGCCGAGCCTGGCTCAACATCATGATGGCCGAGAACGATGACAAGTATGTCCGAGGCCAACCTGCGAAACTCACACTGGTTATGTAGAGATCGCATCGCATCAAACGAGTTGTTCGTAGCACCATTACGGCGGATACCATAGCAGCCTTGGAGGCAGCCGACAGAGGAGATCGTATGCGAGCTCATATTGCCGAAATGCATTACAAGCTGGATTGTCGGGCACACGCCGATGACGTGGCGATCGACACGATGATCCATGCGACGGATTGCAAGTTGCTCTACGATCTGCTACAGAAGCGCGGCACGTTTCCCAGCGAACGCAGGCTATGGATCGACATCGAGGCGCTCCGCAACGACATCAAGGAATCGAGCCTGGTCTCCAAGTGGGTGAACACACGACAGATGTTGGTCGATTGTCCGGCCAAGTGCGACGCTCGGGCGGCAGACTACATGCTTCACGTGCTGAAGACAGGCTACGACAGGCTCACCGAAGACCCGAAGGCCGACCAGGCGGTCGCCCTGATGAGGTATCAGCTGAAGGGCGAGCGTGGCGAGCACCCCAGAGCCAAGTATCCTAGGTGTCCCTGGGGTCCCCAGGGGCACCTTCGGTTTGCAGTGGAGGTTCGAGTAGTATTGAAGGCACTCGAAATCGGGCCGTGGATCAGATTAGCTTATCACTTGGAGGAGTTATGGCACAACCTTACATTGCAACTGTTGATTTACTTTGGGCTTTCAATTTTTCCTACAGCCACCGAAGAATCAAGTGGTTGCGAAAGCAAGTGTGTCTGCGCACCGTTGGCTTCGTGAAGAGGCCAATGGTACGCTGGCCATGGCAAATCCACCCGCGATCACCACATACCCTCACCGTGGCAAGCGACCATAATTGATGGTCGCGTCGGTTGGCCGCAATGGCAGTAAGCACGGCCGTGTTACCCGTGCGCGGGGCGGCTTGAGAGGGCGTATCAGACCAGGTCGTTCAAAGGAGAGGGAGGAGGGGCTCCAGTACCTGAAGGGGAGTCCAAAGACCTCTATGCAGAAGGGAGAATGTGTCATAATGAGCATGCCTTCGGACGTCTCTGGATATTGTGCGCGCGTCTTTGAGACCCTGTTCAACCGAGTTGTCTTACGCAATATCGAAGGCCATCTTGGCCTACACAGGGACGCGAGGGCCGCGCTGGAGACATTAAGGGCCATCTTGGACACCCCAACCCTTTGGGGAACCACGGCCCAGACTCCAGGGGATGGAGTTCCCCCCATGGAACGACCCAGTCGAACAGACTCTCGGCCGCAGCACCTGCTTGCGTGGCCCCCGTCTTGACCTCGGCGAGGCAAGACAAGGCGAGGCGGTTTCCAAGATATCAATCAGGATGGCACCCGATGGTCTAAGATGGCCTCCACTAGGCCTCCAAGAGGCCTCTGGACCGCGGCACAAAAAAACGAGCTGGCCATGAAACCTCCCTGGCATAGGCCCGAGCGGCTGAACACTTTCAAACACTTCCAGTGAGTCCCATGTGTGAGGCCTTGTCATTTTCTGGTTATCAGAAAGCTCTTGAGGCTTCAATGCGGCTTCGAAAGGGACCCCAGAAGGCCACGAGACGGGCCCCGATATCCAAATGAGAACCCCGATAGCACCATGAGAGGGCACCAAGAGGCCCAGGAGAGTTTTGAATCGCGAAAAAAGGCCACAGGACAATCCTTGAGGCCACGCTGGTCGCACGACGGCCCCATGGGGGCTCGTCAGACTCCAAACGGAGCCCCGACAGAGCCGCAAAAGCGGCCAACCAGAGCCCCAACAGAGCCCCAAGAGCACCCCAAAAGAGATCCATACGAGTCCCACGAGGTCACTCCCCAACCCTCAAGTGTGAGGCTCCGCCTAACAAGGGTTTTCATCTATGCATCGTTCTCTTCTCCACGGTTGGACAGGGGGGGTGGCCATTGGCAGCCACATCCAGTCTCCAGACAAGGGAGGAAGTGTTGCGACGTGGGTTAATTAGGGGAGGGTGAACCCATCCCCGAAGGGGAAGAATGAGGCTGGAAAAGGTGACTCCCTAAATCACTACGCCTAGGGGCTGGCGCGATTATAGTTCCCAGGCCTGTCGGGGTCACAAGATTTCTGAAAACGGAGATCCCGATGCAGGGGTGACCTCCGTTTCGAGAAAGGCACACGGCTCTCGATGCACGATCCCACGCGCACTCTTCTCTGCAGACGCACGCGTGCGTCATGCATCAAGGCCCGCCATTGCACAGAGAGGGAGAGAGTCCTGTTTGCCGGCTCCTGTGCGCGCGCAGTCTTGTCTAGTTTGCTACCTGCATTTTCGCTCCAACTGTCAAAACGCTGAGATCAAGACCACCTTGGGATCAGGAGGTGCTCTGGTCTTCCGGCCGGTCCTCAGATTCTGGTCGGGGAGCCCGGTAGGTGGCCGAGGCTCGCCGCGGCCCTGAAATCCCATTCGTCCCTCGGCCAGCTCTCCTCCTGGCAGCCGTCGCGGGAATGGGGGCCGCAGAGGCTGGAGTTTGTCGAGCTCTGTTGCCGCGGAGCGACGGCGGGGAATCCACTGCAGGGAAGGCTCCCAGGGGGCGGGGCGCCAGACTGGCGGCGCGGCGCGCTGTGCCCTTGGGACTCGAGATTCGCAGCACGATGATTGTACACACCTTTCGGATGCAGCTCCTGGGAGGTCAAATTCTGATTTGGGCCTGGTCCGAAATGCGGCTTGCTCCAGCTGAATCCCGCTGAATCCTGTTTAATCCCGCTTAACCCGGCTTAATCCTGCTCAGTCCGAGGCCCACTCCGGCGCAACAGCTCCCAAATGGGGCTGAATCCTCCATAATCTCCCCGACAAAAAAACCTCCCAGTAGTTGCCTCCTAGCGCCGTGCGGCGCACAGCAGTGGCGGCGGGAGCGGGAGGCGGCCGCGCGCACTCGCCAACTACGCGGCCAGCCGCAGCGTCCCCGACCTGCGCTTTCGCAGCGGCCCAGCGGCAGCGCGCTCGGCATCCTGGGGGGGCCTCTGGGCGTGGCAGCCGGGGGGCGTCCTCCTCCTGCTCCTCCTCCTCCTCCTCCTCCTCCTGCTCCTCCTCCTCCCAGTGTGCAGCCAAGTCGCTGAAATAAGGAACAGTTTGGGTAAGAAAGGGGCTCGATACTCCTCAGGTCCTTCCATGGCTTCTCCTCCAGCCTTCCTCGTGCACGCAGGCGCTTGTGGGGGCCAACAAGGGGCTCCGTTCCTTGTTGATCGTTCCTTCTTTCAGCAGCCCGACTGTATTCGGGGGGGGGGGGGGCGAACGGTGTGAGGTCGGTGAGGGTTCAGGGTCACCGCACAGATTTGGGACTCGGGTCGTTCTCCGAGGACGCCTCGGGCGATTGAGGCCTCGCGGGTCCCAAAAGCATGCGGTGACTGTCTGCGCGGGGAGGTCGTTGGGAGGTCACCACGCGGTCCGTCACCACACGTTTTTGGGGGCCCGAGCAGATGGAGGTCAACGAGGATTGCATGAAAGGGGCTCAAAAGAGACCTGAAGGTGCACGAAAAGTCCACTTGTGGCCACCCCCCTCAAAAAAAACACAACGCCCAAAGGCAGGAAGGGGGGAAGGGGACGTCGACATACTACGAGGACGAAGGGGCCGAGGGGAGAGCAGGGGGGAAAAGATAGAAAAACAACAGCAGTGGGAGAAAGTGAGAGAGAGAGAGAGAATAACAAAAAATGAAGAAGGCGAAGGAGTGGGATGATCGGGTGCGGTGGCATGAGGAGGACGAGGTGGGAGCCAGACAGCGGGAGGAAGACGTGGGGCAGGTGGAGCAGAACGACGAGGCCGCAGGAGGACACGAGGGCACACGCCATAGAGACGCCGGCAGATGGCCCTGCATCGATGCACCGATCCCGGGACGCATGCGTTCTTCCTCGCCGTGCGAGTCCAGAGGTTCTGCCTCGGGCCCGGCCGGCCGTGCGAGGGGCCGCGTGCGACAGGCGGGCGGGCGGGCGAGAGGTGGTGCTCTGCGGGTTCCCTGGCCTTCCCCGTTCTTCGGATGCAGCTCCTGGGAGGTCAAATTCTGATTTTGCCCTGGTCCGAAATCTGGCTTGATCCCGCTCAATCCGGCTGAATCCCGCTTCATCCCGCTGAATGCGGCTTAATCCTGCGTAGTCCGAGGCCCACTCCGGCGCAAGAGCTCCCAAATGGGGCTGAATCCTCCCTAATCGTTCCGACGCAAGCCTCCCAGTAGTTGCCTCCTAACCTTTCCCCCCCTCTCCGAAACCAAAAAAAACATACACATCGTTCATTTATCATTATTCTAAGAGTCTTTGATTTTTTGGGGGCCAAGATCCTTTCATTTCTAATTGTTCTATCCTGGGCCTCATCCTGGCCACTAGGGGGCCAGGAACAATTTTGTATCGAGCACAATTAGAAATGAGCACGATTAGCCGTAGCCATTTTGGCTCAAGGCTATGAACCGCCCGACGACCGCGAGTCGGCCTCTGTCGGCGACTTCTGAGCGCGAGGGGGTTTGCGCTTTGAGGCCAAAGCAACTGATTACAATCGAGTTTTGAGCGCATGGGAACCGATGGGTACCCTGGCGCGGTGTGGGCGTGTGCGTGCGGCACAACCGACAACCACCCGTGTAGGACCTGGTGCCGTGGCTGTGGCAAGCCGGCCCCCAGGACGTCATCGGTGGTCACGTACCAGTGGCAGCAGAACAAGCGCAAGCGGGTGCCGAAGCAGCAGGGCCAACGGCAGCCACAACGGTGGACGCAGCCGAGGGTCCAGGGTTGGGGGACGCAACCAGGGGAGTGGCCAGCTCTTGCGACAGCCTGGAGGCCAAGGGCAGCTGTCCAGGCGCCAGCAGCGAACCACGTCGAGGACTTGGCACGGCTCTGCGAGAAGCTCCACAAGGAAGGCGTGGTGGACCAGGAGGTGCTGGCAGTTGTGCAGGGCGCCAAGGTCAAGGCAGCCCAGGCAGCTGAGGCGGCCAAGCCTGACAAGGGCTTGGATGACCAGCTGCGCGTGGTGCAGAGCAAGATCACGCACAAGGAGCGCACGGTGGCCAGGGCAGCCGAGTACGTGGAGGAGACGCGCAAGGTGCTGGCCGACGCACAGGCCAGCTTCAAGGCTGCAGAGCAGGCGGCACAGGAGCGGGCCGAGGAGCTGCGCGCCCTCACAGGGAAGCGCGTGGTGCTGCTGCAGCAGATGTCGGCCAAGGCGTCGGAGATCACCGACAGGGCGAAGGAGGACTCTGAGTTCATGCAGGCGTACAATGCGCTCAAGGACGCCCAGAGGAAGGCCCATGAGAGCGAGCGGGCCCTGCGGGAGAAGTACAAGAACCACTTCGCCAGCGCCCCAGCGCCAGGGGGCCCACCTGCGGAGCCCGAGGCCACGGACCCGATGGACCTTGATGCAGAAGCGCAGGAGAAGTTCTTCGAGGACTGGTGCAAGGGCATCGGCATCGACAAGGACGTCATGGCGCGGAACATGGGTGACAACCTTTCTGTGGCTGATCGCGTGCGTAAGCTCTGCGAGTGCGCGCCCGTTGGGGCACCCAAGCGTCCACGGCGTGCTTGACAGCGCAGGCCAGCCGTGGGCCGACGAGGAGAGCCCACGCGAGGCGCTACCTGAGGGCCAGCCTAGAACGCAAGTCCCAGCCCCCGGGGGCACCCACGAGGCAAACAGCGCGAGGGGCCGGGCTCAGTCGCCAAGGTTTCTGCTGGAGCTTGCCCCCTGGTGCACCCACAGGGTAAACAGCGCGCGGGGCAGGCCCGCCTCGACGAGAGCACCTAGAGGTGGTGCCACCGCAGCGCATGCAGAACCGGGCAGGCGCAAACGAGGGCGAGGCAAGCTCTCGAAGGGGATTGAGATCTACACCGCCAACTGCAACACGTGGGCCAAGGGTGTCGCGTTCGTTGACGAGCACATCACCAAGCCGAGCTGCATCCTGGGCCAGGAGCACAGGCTGGACGATAACTGGAAGGAGGAGGTGCAGGCAGCGACCTGCAAGCGAGCATGGGCGATTGCGATGACGCCCAGTGCGACGGGAGCTCGAGGGGGCCGCAGTGCTGGGATCTACATCATGGTGCCCAAGTCTATCGGCCTCACCTACGCGTGCGGCCAGCAGGAGTGGGACTGCTCACCCACAGGCATGCGAGGGCGCATATGTGTGGCCCGATGCTCGCTGTGGGGCACAGGAGGCGCGCCGCTGGTTTCGGCATATATGTGGACAGGCGACGGGCTGTCAGAACACAACCTGCAGATCCTGGACCGCGTCGGCGAGCTCACAGAGATGCATGCGGCCCCTTGGATTCTTGGCATGGACGCGCAGTTGGAACCCCACACCTTGCACGAGTCGGGTTGGCTCCAAGACGTGGGAGGAGTGCTCCACACCATTCGCAAAGTTACGTGCGACAGCATTGGAGGAGGACGCGAGATCGACTACTTCGCGGTCGCCAAGGGGCCTCAGCCCTGCCCTCAGCCAGGCAGAGAGGGTGGGGGACAGCGAGGTCCCCCCGCGCTGGCCAGTGTGGGTGCGCTGCCTGGAGCAGCCCAGGGAGGCCAAGGTGCTGCACCTCATAAAGCCGCGCGCCTCCCCCATGGCGCCGCCAGTCGGGCGCGCGCCGCAGCCGCAGCAGCGGCCGCTGTGGCCGACCGACCACGCGGGCAGGCTCGACCAGGAGGACCTGGACAACTAGCGGCGCCAGGTCTCGCGCACGGCAGAGGGGGAGCTCCTGGGCGTCTGCCAGAGCCCAGAGGAGGAGCGCCCACGGTACCGCGGCCGAGGCGATGCGCCGAAGACGGTGCTCACGCCGCTCCTGGGCCCCAAGGCGAGGGATGGCGTCGGGCAGACGGTGGAGGCCACGGCCTGGCGCTGGGCGGCCAACAGGATTGGCAGCCACACATACTGGTGGCTCACGCAGCCAGGGCGAAGCGCCCAGACCCAGCTCGGGTGGCATGGCTACGAGGGTGCCTCGGCAAGGCGTTGCACCGAGGGCGACGCCGCTTGCGGCAGCTCGGGGCCACGGGACAGCGGCTGGACCACCTCCTCTTCGACATCAAGCACTGGCGGCTGCACGATGACGGCGCTGAGGAGCGGCTCGCCGCAGCCATGGAGATACGGCGGTGGGTCCTCAAGCAGGCCAACAAGATAGCGAGTGCGGTTTCTCAGGAGAGGGCCAGAGCGTGGAGGGGTCGTCTCAAGGGTGGCAGCAAAGGTGCAGCAGGTTTTTTGCACCGCATGGCTCGCTGGCGCCATGCCGAGCGCCCCCCCGCGCCCATCGCGAACTACAAGAAGGACGAGGTGGAGTTGCTCGACGGGCAGACGCTGGTGGATGGTCATGCCCACCAGTGGTACCAGCTCTGGGCCTCGCACGGGGCCGACAGCCGAGGAGAGCACGACCGACCTTGGGAAGGACGTGTCTACCCCGCACCACCAGTCAGAGTTTCGGCCGATCGGCTCAGGGAGGCAGCCAGGCTGTTTAAGACAAGCACTGACATAGGCCCTGGCTGGTGGCACCCAAGATGGTGGACGCGGCTATCGTCGGAGGGCATCCAGGCGCTGGTCGACCTCGCCGAGTACATACTCATTCATTGGCCTACCCAGGTAGAGCTGCTGGCCTACCTCCTGGTGCCGAAGCCGCACGAGGATGGGCGCCGCCCGCTGGCCCTCCTGTGCTCCCTGGTTAGAGCTGTGGAAACGTTGATGGCAGATGAGTATCGCAAATGGGAAGAGACAGTCGCACGGCCCTATGACTGGGCTAACAAAGGTAAAGGTGCTGAGGACGCGATGTGGGACTTCATGCTCAGGGACGAGAGCTGCCCAGAGGACCACATCAACGCGGCTGCAGTGAAGGACCTGTCCAAGGCGTTCGAGCACGTCACCATGAGGCGCCTGTGGGAGCACGGGCGCAAGCTGGGGATGCCAGAGCAGGTACTCCACTTCATGATCTCGATCTTCACTATGGAGAGGGTCGTCACACTGGATGGTATGGTGGCCTCTACACGG